ATCTGTCTAAGAAGCAAGAGTCTGGAAATGCTAGTTTAACTTGTCACGTGACAAATCAGATCTTCAATTAATTTGGCCAAATCAGATCACTTAAAGCTGTTCACACCAAGAACAAGAACTATAATGAGAACTATTTTAGCATCCACACCAACAGACGATACTGTTCTGTTTATTATAAGCATGCGCTGTGGTTATGTTGTCTGCCATAAAATGCTCAAGCTCTTTAAAGTCTTGTGGATTCTGATTGGCTGTCAATGTTTTTATTGTTCATCAGCTGAAAAAAAAAATTGTTCTGAAAGAGATTACAACGATATTGTTCCTCTGTGTAATAAAATGTTAACTCTGAAATGTTCCTTTCATTCTGTTAAAATTACACACAAAATTCTGCCTTTCTCTGCCTATTTCTCTTCATCTTATTCCTTTACTCCCTCACTCACTTACACATTCTTTTATGCTCTGTTGTAAGGTAGAAACTGAGAGTTTGCATGATGGCCTTTTCTCAGACTCTGAATCTGATGTATACAGATGAACTCAGGAGCCTGCGAGAGCCAGGGAACTTGAGCTTGAAGTATATAATTATAACTGCTTCATTTATATGTTTAAACAACAATAATAATTAAACATGGGGTCAATAAATATGTTCTTGTTTAAGACCAAAAGACCAAAAACACAAAGAAAATCAGTCACAGCAAGCCAGCCAAACCAGTCCTGATGAATGAGGAATGAACCTTGTGCACATGTGCACAAACAGAAAAGACAGAGAGCTGAAAAGTTGCACATTTCCATTGGTATGTCTGTATTCAATGCAGTTATGTGTGGTACAGCATTGATGTTGATCTCTCAAAAGACTCTTCAAGTCAAATCATTTTTCACATATGCATCTTTTTATAGCTCCTAGAATGAGCAAATCAGCTGTGCATCATCTCTGGGATTTGGGCAGAAAATGACTGAATATGGTGAGTACTGACACCTGCACCTGTATTCACCAACACCATTTCTCTGGAGTTAATGTTGACTTATTGTTTTGTCTGTTTGTTTGAAGGAAGATGAAGCCAATTCAATGGCCGCCAAGTACTGCACTGCTGCCTGAACCCATCAGGTATCTGCTGTGAAGACTGCATTCACAAACAGCTCTACTGCGACAGCGCAGATGTTACGGCCCATAAAAGTAAATTTCACAACTGAACAACTGCAAGATAGTTGTGGAGGGATTCTTTTGGCCCATACCTCCAACAAACTCCAACAAGAATCAATGGTAAGTCCTGAGCAACAAATAGAAATAAAAATACTGTATATTGTTTACTGATTTACCACACCCTAAATACATGTTTTGTCTCTCCAGGACATCTACACCAGGTGGTGTGTGAGGAGGACCGTCAGAGACTCCAGCCACCCGAGCCATGGACTGCTCTCACCGTTACCATCAGGCAGGTGTTATCACAAAACCTGCACCAGCAGACTGCGAGACAAGTTCTTTCCACAGACAATCAGACTGAACTGAACTCGTACCAGTAACACCACACAGCACACCCCACCAACCTCATATGCATTGCACTCTATCAGTTACACTGACGGGACTCACTATTATTCTGCACCCTGACATTCTGTTTGCACTAATTCATACCCTGCTGCACTGCAAAGTTATATGTGTACTGTGATTTATTATTGTTTTAATTTCATGAGCTGTATAGCATAATATTTACCATATATTGTTCTCTACCTGTATTGAGTCCCTTATATATGTGTTGCATATATATTCAGTATTTGTATTTCATATTTATTCATTCATTTGTCATCCATACTGTCATGCTGCAGTTTGCACCCAAGACTTTCACCACCTGTACACTTGTGTTCATGGTATTGTGACAATAAAGTGATTTGATTTGAATTGGTCACATGTATTTTGAATGCAGAGTCCAGGAAATATGTCGCAGTGAATACCCACAAAGGGCTGTTTACTTACCGTGTTTTACCTCTTTGGAGTCTTTTCTAGCCCTGCCATCTTCCAACGGACCATTGAGGGGGTACTGCAAGGTCCTTCCACATGTGGCAGTTTTCCTTGATGATATCCTGGTAACCGGTCATAATGATGAAGAGCATCTCCAAACTCTTGCTAGAGTATTGGATAGATTGCAGGAAGCAGGACTGCGGTTGAAAAGGAGTAAATGTTCCTTCATGGAAAAAGAGGTAATGTTCTTAGGTCATAAAGTGGATGACACAGGCCTCCATCCCGCACCAGAAAAAGTGACGGCTATTCAAAATGCTCCCTCACCAAAGAATGTGACAGAATTGAAGGCTTATTTAGGACTTTTAAATTATTACAATAAGTTTTTGCCCAACCTGTCTACTGTTTTAGCCCCTGTGCACAAGTTGCTGCGAAAAGATGCAAAATGGAACTGGGCTGGGGAACAAGAGGCTGCTTTTGCTCAGTCTAAAAAAATTATTCACTCTGTACAAGTTCTGGTCCATTATGACCTCCAGAAGGATGTGATTTTATCATGTGATGCTTCTCCTTATGGCTTAGGTGCAGTTCTTTCGCATAAGATGCCTGATGGAAATGAAAGACCCATAGGATTTATGTCACGAACATTGAATCAAGCTGAGTGGAATTATTCGCAGTTGGACAAAGAAGGGTTGGCTGTAATGTTTGGCTTACAGCGCTTTCATAAGTATTTGTATGGTCGAAAATTTACAATCGTTACGGACCATAAGCCCTTGTTATCTTTATTTAACGAGTTAAAAGCTGTTCCCCAAATGTCCTCTCCTAGAATCCAGCGATGGGCTGTGACCCTGAGAGCATACGAATACAACATCATCTACAAGGCTGGCAAAGATCATGGCAACGCAGACGCTTTAAGTCGGCTACCATTGCCAATGGAATCTTCCACCGATCAGGAGGAAAGAGTTCTAATGTTGGAGAATGCTGATATCACCCTAATTACAGCAGAACAGGTGAGGGAGTGGACAAGAAAAGATCCAGTATTATCTCGGGTGAGAGAAACAGTGCAACGCGGATGTTTGCATGAATTAACAGGAACGGAGTTTGACGCATTCACATTAAGGAAAGATGAATTAAGCGTACAGGATGGTTGTGTGCTTTGGGGGGCCAGAGTAATCATTCCCAGTGTGGGTAGACAAGACGTTCTTAAACAATTGCATCAGTGTCACCCAGGAGTGTCTAGGATGAAAGCTTTGGCCAGAAGTTATGTGTGGTGGCCCAAGTTAGAGCAGGATGTGGAAAGGCTGGTTAAAACCTGTTGTACATGCCAAGAGCATAGGAATGTTCCAGCTGTTGCCCCGAATGGACTGTAAATTCCCTGATTTCGACATTCCTGGAAACTCAACACCTGTAGTTGCTAAAGAGACTGAGGGAACAGGGACTGTGGACATTTCTAGTGAAACTAATCCCTCTGAAGCATCTGGGGATTCCTCTCAACATTCGGCCATAATCACTGAAATTAACAAACCTGCTAGTCCTGTTGTAATTATGAGACGGTCACAAAGAACCAGGAAGTTGCCTACCCATTTAAAAGATTATGAATTGAAGTAATATTGAATGTGAATTGAAGACTGAAAAAAAAAAAAGTGAAAAAAAAAAAAATTTGTAAACTGTGAGGCTATGTAATTGTGGTTATTATGTAAGCTTGGGGGAAAAGGGATGTTGTAGAGTGACAAGGGAGTGTCAGTTGTAGTGATGACCTGTAGAGGGCAGGCTAAAGCTGTATTGGTATTTGCTTAAAAAGCAGCAGAGAAGAACTTGGTGTGTGTAAATTGACTCCACCTGTGAGGTGATTGAGTGTACTGCTGGTTGATGCATTCTGTTGAGTAAATGCACTCTTGAATATATCTCATGCCTCCTCAAGTTATTACAGTAGTTTAATGAAGTTATGCTTAGGGTTAGGGTTACGATCTCGGTAAAGAGGTAATTTCTCACGACATAGCCACACTGCATTGTTAACTGAAGGTATTACTGACGTAATAATAACAGCAAAACGGACTTTGCAACATTAAGTGGTTTTTAATTTGGGTTAAAAGATAGTCCAATCACAGCGAGTTCTGCGAGTGCCAAGGGAACTTCAAAGCCAATGGCAACCCAGTTGAGCCGAGGCATCACACTTACTTGTCCATATGTGGTCATTTATGACAGGATCTTCCGGGTTCTTGTGGTGAATGGACAGAATCTGTTAAAGATTTATTTGTCCCCAGTTAATATAAAACTGCAACAGATTGCATCGTGTGGTTAACCTGATGCAGCAATAGATTTGTTGATTACAATGATTTTATTTTTCAACAAGGGCATAATGGTTCCCATTGTATAGGCCCCAAATTAATCACTTCTATGTTTCCTGGAAATGGACCCTACAAACTTGCCATTCTTAGATCTGTCAGTTGAACTATAGAAACAAAACAAACAAACAAAAAACATCATGAATCACACATTTTGTAGTCATTTTCCAATGTTTATTGATATGTCAAACTTTTCCCAGATAAACATAATGCCCGGAACAGCAGTCTCTCTCCAGTTTGTGCCACTATGAAAAGAATGAAAACAAAAAAAGCAGTTGATTATAAAAATTTATTTGCATAGAGGTAACTAAGGAAAATGCAACAGAAAACCCCTTTAAAAACATAGTCTAATATTCAAAAATAAAAAGAGAATTTGTTTAGAGAAATTGTGACAAAAGATGCCAAACAATATTCAAGGCTCCAGTTGAAAAGATATTATTTTCTTCCCTTTAACAAACAAATGAAAAAAAAATGATTAAGAACAATGCTTCAATAGTTTACAATTATTACCTTTAAAAATATATCTCCTGTAATCACTGTGTGCTTCTATTGTGACTAAACGCAAGACAAATTAATGGTTAATAACAATTATAATTTTATAATGATAAAAGTCAACCATTTTGAGCAAGAATATATATATATATATATATATATATAGTGAGAGGAGTGCTTATAGTAGAGATGGGAGTGATGACTGTAGAGGAGAAATGAATACAAGTAGACATGCTAAGACTGAAAGTTGGCAGTAAAGGACCGAGAGCAGATGTGCCACACGAGAGAGAGAGACATGTGGAAGCTTTTGGACGGGCTGATATTGTAGAGAACTGATGGAGAAGGACTAAGTAATCTGCGAGAAATCCTGCAAGAAGGAACAAAGAGAATTTATCACATGATGAACAACAAAAACACTGACAACAACAAATGGCAGACAACAACATACTGTAACTGCAGAGTGTATAACAGTCAAAGTGCTCAGACCGACACAGACGTACCATTGGAAGTGTTTGCTTTGCAGCTTTTGGTCTTCTCCATAAACACACAAGATGGTCAAATTCAAATCCCATGACAGGCCTTCCTTCGGTCTTCCCTTTCAGCTGAAATGAAGGGAAATATAAACATGTTGAGACAGTGTGTTAAAAATGATCTGTGACCAAAATATTTGATTAACACATAATATAAGGATGCGTTCATTAAAGCAAATCAGTTTTAACTAAATGTCTTCAACATTACGTTTGAGGGTTGAACCTTTGAAGGACTTGTTCAGCCTCCTCGACAGCTTCTTCAAGATCAGCATTAGGAGCGTCGAGTTGAAGTTCCCTGTTAATTCTAGCAGAGAGCCAGAGAGAGAGCAAGAGAGAGAGCGAGAGCGAGAGAGAGAGACTTTTACAAGAGATGGCTTCTTTAAAGAGCTGCTGGAGTATGTGATCTGATGTAACTGCAAGACAGAAAAAAAATATTGAATTACAATGACTTCACAAAAAGGTATTAAAGGCGTTGCAAGCATTGTGGTTACTGTGCTTTACAAATAGTATAGAGTAAAAACACAGTTACTGTGGTAAAACCATGGTAAATGCTGTGGTTATTGTGCTTTAGTAACCACAGATACCACAGTAAAACTATGATTACTGAGGTAACGTTAAACTCATAATAAGTGTTGTGGTTATTATGCTTTAGTAACTA